TCTAAAATAGACAAACGAAAATACATTGTTGATAAGCGTTGCAAATTGTTTTGGGCTAGGGGCCCCACGGGCCCCCTGCACCCCAAGGGCCCCTGGGCAGTGGCCCCGCTGGCCCGGTCCGTAATCCGTCCCTGATATATATATTCAAATGTATATTGAAATATCGGAAATGTGTTTAAAAATCGTATCACGGTTATTGAAAAAAATTCTATTGCGATATATATTGATATCGAATTATTGTCCAGCCCTACTTGTATTGGTGATGTCCGTCACTGCCCTCCTTAATTGTATATACCCATCTACCTCCCACTGTCTCTCTGCAATGTAGTCAAGGTAAAGGTCTGGTTGTCCTCTAAAGACTGAAACTCCTCATCCATTGCTCTCTTCCACTCTTCTGACTCAGTTGATGCCATAGCCTCTTTAAAAGTTAGTGGAATACCACAAACAGCTCGGTAGCAATAGTCCTTGCTAGTGAGTGTGCTGTCATCCTCGTCACTATCTTCCTGACTATAATCCTTCAGATACCCTGGAGGTTTATGCTCTCTGATGGGATATTTCCCTCTGCTTGAGGCCTGTGACGTCACCCTAGGATGCTTCTTGCCATCATCCTCTAGTGACTATGGATTATCAGTCTGTATATCAGTGTTGAAGGTACTAGACTGTGGTGTCTGTCTATGCTCACTATTCACTATGGGGTCCAGTTCTAGTGTGACAAAGTTTGTGACAAACTTTACTAATCTGTTCTTTTGTATTTTCTGTTTACCGGGGTAGTAAACTAGGAAGGCAGGGCTACCCTTGTCATGTCCTACAAACAGTCCCTTCTCGCACCTAGAATCTAATGTACCCCCGTCTGGCTGATAACACACTGACCCAAACTTGTGCATCTTGGCTAGATCACACTTCTTTCCCGTCAGTGCTGTGTAAGGTGTAGTACCCGTGTGCTTGTTAAAGCACCGATTTCTGGTGTAGGCAGCATCCTGAATGGCTTAATGCCAAAGGCTTTTGGGCAGACCACTGTCAATGAGCTTACACCTTGCC